AAACTTACACTTTATAAAGTGTAAGAAATAGTTTCATTTTATAAAGTGTAGGAAATAGTTCCGTTATATATTAAAATATACACGTTATGAGACTAACGGAAAACGTTTAGAATATTAGATAAAGTGGAATTTTTTCTTCCACTAAGTTTATTTTAGTTACTTACTAAAGTAGTGGCTTATTTTGGTCACTTTTATGTTTTTGTGGCTTATTGATACGCTCAAATTACACCTCCCTACAGAAGTATAAGCGATCGTTATCAAGTAAAGAACCCAACTTGTAGGTTGGGGTCAATCCCACGAGGAAAATGGTTTAGACTGTATTTTAACCAACAATTATATTCAATTAGTCAAATTACTTCCAGAAACAGGTAATTAAAGGTGGGTTTGTGTGTGTGAAACAAATAGTAGAATTTAATAAGTAATCAGTAATCAAAACTCAACTTTGGTTGTTATCAATATAAGAGAAATAACTAGGGTATACGTGTTCCCCACAAGCTCATAACGCAGTAATCCTAATAATAGCAATCATTTCCTAGTGTATTACATGCAAAGTGATAAGTTAGGTATATCTAAATCCTTGGTTCGACATCTAGAGAATTTCACCCTGCACCTTGGTCCGGCTACGTGTGTATAACTTACTAACCCTTACCTTTACCTCATATTAGACATCATAATCGATGTTTGGCTTAGTTATTACTTCGCATCAATCGACACTAGCCTATTAGATAATATCACACTAAATCTATGTTGATAATTGTTTTCTTGTTGATTACCTCCTTGGTCCGGCAAGTAGCAACAATGCGAGTTCTAACGCGTGCACTCGTTAAAAAGACTTTTAAACGAAAGAATTATCAATGCATGCAAACCACTATTCAAAAATTGCTTATTTAATATTCATACTTTGTTAATCGCTCATGGTTCCCACAACCCTAGTTATGGATTTAGTTACCCATATTAGCAAGAACACAATTCATAGTTTTAGATGAAGGAATCATGAACTTACGTAAAGAGAATAATAAACCTAGAAATTTAACTTGAATTGCAAAGCCATGGTTCCCACAACCCTAGTTATGGATTTAGGTACACGTCTTTATTCCACGAGACTGACTTACGGACCGTCGATGGATCTACGGTCCGTAAGTCCCTTCCGTCAGCCAGGACTTAGAAAATATTTCAGCTTTCAAAAATCAGCTTCTCTGAAGCAAACGACAGACTTGCAGGACGGACCGTAGATAAAATCTACGGTCCGTCAATCCCCTCCGTAGCTCCACACTTAGAATCTTCAAAAATCAGGTACTGGAACCCTCACAGTCTCATTCTACGAATCGATCAGTACGATCCGTAGATCAATCTACGGACCGTCAATGGCCACCGTGGTTCCACACTTGGTCAGATTTCCCTGATTTGTCATCCATACCTTGCCTGCTGATCTACGATCATCACTTACGGACCATCAATGGACCTACGGTCCATAGATCACCTCCGTGAATGCCCTTTTTCTGCATTTTTCTCAGCTGTCTCTATACTTCTGTGCCTGAACATTTTTCCTGCAAAATACAATAAAAACACATAAAAACAATACAAAAAAGCCCTAGACATACACAACTTGTAAGTGAAATGTATTAGAAATATCGTAAACTCACGGTATATCACTTATTTAGGTTCTGAACTCCACTTGTTATAGGACTGGTCCACCATCACAGAATGTCACACTACCAATAAATTAATGCAATAAACATAATTGAATACTCTAATTACTGTTAATTTAAGGCATTTATAAGACATAATATAAGATATAGAATATCATGTAACTTCCATATACTACTTGCAATGTATAGACTATAGACTTAAGACTTTACATTAACCTAATATAACAAGTAACCTTAGCTAGTACTCAATATTTTATTTTCAAAGTTACTAGTTTTACTTATTATAAAATATATTGCTCTCTGTGTTTTAATTTATGTGTCTTTTTAAAATTATCATAGAGTGTATACAAATCTTATATAACTATCTCGTGAAGAGACAAATATTATTTTTAAAAAGCATATCAAAGTAATTTGAAAAAAATATATACAAAAATATAAAAAACATAATTACAAATAATGGCAAAAGATTAACTTAACATTTGTAACAATAAAAAAAAACAATAACTAACAAATAAGAAATAACGTAGTAACAAAAATTGGAGAATAAGAAATTATGAGAATAATACTAATGTTAATACTACTGATATAATAGGAGAAATAAGTACGGTGCACAAAATTACAAGCAAACTTCCTTCTTTTGTATTATTTGTTGAAATAGATAATACATATATGACCAAATGTATATGTAGTTAAGGGCTGATTAGAGTTGGACACAAAATTTCTAATTTAAATTGAAATGTACAATGGTTCAGTGTTCTCACTAAAGCCCGATCTGATCCCACTTGAGCGGCAGAGAGAAATCCTTATCGTCTAATTGCGTCAATACAATAAGATAGATGCTTGAATCGCTCTGTGACTTTATACACCCCCCAAAAAGAATGAATAGACGCCTAGATGGAAAAATTACGATAGAAATAAAGCTTGGAAATGAAGGATGCGGGGCAATCGACCGATCCGTGGAACCACATTTGTTTATACATATATGGATATATAGATAGATAACGATTCTTCCTCTCGATGATAAGGGACGGAAAGAGAATTCGCTTTAATCGGAATATCCAATTCAAAGGCAAAAGACGAAGAGAGAATAAGTTCATTTTGGGTTACAAAAAGGACCAGATCAAAGGAGAAAGGTTAGGCACTTTCTAAAGTCATTTCAATAAGAGGTTGTTTCTTGTATCTTAGCTAATTCAACTATTTCATTGATCCAACATGCTTAGATTGCCCTAAAGCAAGTAGAAGTTTACTCACATGCAGTTGGAAAGTTTGAAAGCAAAGCAGGGGTCTTCATTTCTAATAGGCTTTGATAGATCTTTGAAATTGGAAAGATGATCTGCCCAGTCCCCCCACCCCCTACCGCACGGAAGTAGCCCTTTTTCGCCTTCCATCTGAGCTGCGCAGGAAAGGCCCAAAGTCAATCTCAGGGAACAGTGAAGCTTCAAAGTGTCTTTCTGTCCAGGTATAGATAGTTTGCATCTTCACGGACATATCTATTTCACCGAGCCTCTCTCCGAGACAGTGGCCAGATCGTTACGCCTTTCGTGCGGGTCAAAACTTACTCGACAAGGAATTTCGCTAAGGCGTATTCTCAAAATCCCTATATCTACAAGCTACAGCTATGGCAATAGGGGCGTGATTTGGTAATATGCCAATTTGACCACTATTAGTAGATAGAACAATTTCTTCCACTTTTGCCTTTTACTCTAATTTGCGATTTCTAAATCCTCTTATCCAATATTATATTTTATTATCTAACCTTACTATATATACATAGAGAGATACAGACATAGGCGGAGCCATTCTTGCCCAAGGGGTGTCCTTCGCCGGAAAATTACAATGTATATAGAGGTAAAATTTTAATTTAATAAATATATATATAAGTACTGACACCTTTTCACTATGTTACAAATGATCTTTAGCGGCAACTAATTAATGACAATAGCTCAATTGCAGCTAAATATGTATTTTTAGCGGTAATTAGCACTCTTTGTATATGTCACTAAAACCTTTAGCGACATTGGATTTAATGCCACTTAACAAATGCCGTAAGTATTTTAGCACTTTTATTAATGTGTCTATTTATTGTCGTTAAAAGTTATTTTTGTTGTAGTGTTTAGAACAAGTCGAATGTTTAGTCTAATGGTTGAGAGGCTGCAAAAATCCCTTGAGGTCGTGAGTTCAAGCCCAACCCTTAGGGGTCGTTTGGTAGGAAGTATTAGGAGAAATAGTACATGTATTATGTATCGTATTAATTAGTACTATGTTTGGTAGAATTTTTGGACCTAAGTATAACTAATCCAGGATACCTTCCATTTGGTGGTATTAGTAATCATTGGATTTAATACCATGAGATTATCTATGTAAAGAAAAAAATATCCCTAAAATCATTTTATTTATTTTCTTGATTTTATATTTTATATTTGTACTAGTAAATTTATTTAACTAAATTAGCTTACAATTTTTATTGGAGTGTTGTTTGTTGATAAATAAATGCAATACATATCAATATAATATTTAAAATGTGAGTTGTTTAACATTTACTAATTGAAAATGTGAATATATCACCACATGACGTTTGTGATCTTAATTGAATATATTATTTGTTGATTTATATGTGGTTTCTAATTATTTGTATTTTAAACCATTTATAAATTGCATATATTAAAACTACAACTTGCAATTTTTATGTATAAATGTAGATGATTTATTTAATTTTACTATTGTTTACCGTCTTTTTGATTTTAAAGTAGATGGTCTATCTATTCTAAATTGAATATTAACGTTTTTAAGTGATTAATTTATTAAGATGACAAGTATTTACCCTTAAATAATTCAAGTGAGAAAATAGCAAACATGACAACAAAATTGTTCTTCTCCTAGCTAGTTAGAAAGCCATAGAAAAATAATATTGTCCGTCAATTATCTACCTTATCCCGATTACATAAATAAAAAATCTCATAATAATTAAGGGTATAATTGAAAAGAAGTTTTTTGTAGAGTTGTAATTCAAACACAAGATAAGTTGGGAAACAATGAACCAAACAGTTGATAAAAAATATACCATGCATTACTAAATCCAACACTACTAATTCTTGTATTACTAATCTCTGCATTACTAATTCATGCATTATTTATTTTTCTACCAAACGACCCCTTTAATGCAAAAAAAAACATCAAGTTCACTAATCTATCATAGAAAATGAAGCAAGAGGAAAGATACAGGAGATTTAAACTGTTGCTTAAACGGCATTTTAACGTGGGTTGGGGAATATTTAGAATTGTTATAAATAGTTAACCATGGAGATTTCCAATTATACATCTACCATAAAGCAAAATAAACAAGTAGCAAAATAAACAAGTAGCAAAATAAGAAACCCAAAAATCGAAAATGAAGAAGCTTATCTTCCTAATTTTCAACATAATTATGCTTTCAATCGGCAATTGCGGTGGTCCTTTAATCTCTCGACTCTATTTCATTCATGGCGGCCAACGAATTTGGATACCCAGCGTATTACAAACTGTTGGTTGTCCAATTATTCTCATCCCTCTAGCCATAGCCTATTTCCAACGCCGGAAAATTCAAGGACCCGAGGCTAAAATTGTCTTTATCACACGGCAAGAGTTCATCGCATCTGCCGGCGTCGGAATCATCGTCGGTCTCGATAGTTACTTAAACTCATGGGGACCCGCGAAATTACCCGTTTCAACTTCGCTCTAATCAACGCGACTCAACTTGCGTTCACTGCGCTTTTTGCTGTGCTTATAGTTAAACAGAAATTGACAGCGTATTCGACGAATTCCGTCGTTTTGCTTATCGCCGGAGCTGCGACTTTAGCTCTCCGGGCGAACGGTGACCGGCCGGCCGGCGAGTCCACGAAGGATTATATGTTGGGGTTTGTGATGACGTTTATCGGTGCGGTGTTATATGGATTGATGTTGCCGTTAATTGAGTTGATTTATATGAAGGCGAAGCAAGCTGTTACTTACACTACAGTATTGGAGATTCAGATGGTTTTGGGTATTTCTGCTACTGTTTTTTGCACCATTGGAATGATTATCAACAAGGATTTCCAGGTACATATACTTTTCTTCACTGAATTCAATTCTAACAAAGGCTTTTTAAATTTCTGCAGCAAATCCAATTTCAGATAAAACATAATTTTCTTATCTGATTTTGAAACTCACAAGGTTAAAACCATTTTTCAATTGTCACCGAACGAATCTTAAATTTTAACTTTATAAAATTTAAATTTAGATTAACAATTTTAAATAATATTTACTAAATTATAAGTAATACTCAATTCTAAAATAAAAATCGATCAAATCCGCACTATCTCTATCTACTCTGTCCTGTTTTTGTTAATAGTGTGATCCATCCGCTAGAATAAGTACACCAATCATAATCTTCCACCTGTCTTGCCTTTTTGAATATTGACACGGTAGGTCCTTCGTTAATTAATCGTTTTAAAAATGCAGGTTTAAAAAAAAACAATTCATTTATTGTAACAGAAAAATAATATTTATTTCTTTGTTTTTAAAAAAATGAAAATGTTTTTAACTACATAATCAATTTCTTCATTTCACATATCTATAAACTCGAGTAGAATTACCACAAATCACAACTCTTTTGAATAAAAGAAGATTTAAAAAAATCAGTAAAAAGTATACATAAATTTAAACTAATCAAAATTTAATAGGAATATTAAAAGAAAAACTAAAAACAAAAAGAAAGAAAAGTCTACCAACGGAGTAATTGTTTTGCCCATGTTCTGACTGGCCAGCCCCTTCGCCCCCCCCCCCCCCCGCCCCCCCACACCACACACACACACTTCTAGCTGTCAATATTTATTTTTTCCGTCCGTACATTAAATAACGATAGAGCCTCCTATATTTTTTTTGAAAGTTATATGACAATTGACAAGCTTTATTATAAGATACAATTCTTCTAGTATTAATATGATGAAAGTATATTTTAAAAATTTATATAATTTAACTCCTAAAATATAAAATCTGACAAGTTAGGCATAATAATAAACTTATTCACGCACGTTAGAGGAGAAAAAGAGAAAGAGAGACTTTTTTTTTTTTACGTCTACTTTTGTAGTAGATATTATTATTTTTCGGGTCATAATCACATTCCTTACAAACTTTTGTAGAAAACAAATCTTACACTTGAAAAGGAAAAACTATTTTTGATAAAGCTAATATTTTTACCATTATTGTGACTCATTTCTAATGTCTAAACTTGTTGCTTTCCTTTCATATCAATTATTTGTCCTCTGGCGCAATTATTTTAGAAAATGACATCGACCTACCGTACCGCGTTACTTCTAAAATTGGATATGTTTACATCACACTGAAGATTTCATCTTCTTTAGGAAACTAATTAAAATGGAAGAAAATTAATAAGAGTTGCAAAATTTTATTTCTAAAGCTAATCTTTTTGTTCAATGTAATTTCATTTGCATTATTAACGTCATATTTAGGATTTTTAAAACATAGGTGCACCACTAATTTCTTTAGGTAAATTACTCTAACATTCAACCACATGCATTATTTGGGCGCCATTTTTTGAACATGAATGCCAGTAGATAATATTAAATCAATTTTAAGAAATTTGTATATAAAATATCCGATTTACCAAAGAGATTATAAATACACTGTAAATTAAGCTATTAATCGGCTCTTGTTTGCATACAATCAAGATGCGCATCTAATTTCTAAGAGAAAGTAATAAATAAGAGAACAAATTCATTTGGTTTGTGCTTTCTGTTCAGACAAAGGAAAAGAACGAATTTTCCCTCTATTCTTTACTCTCTTCAAAAAAAAAAAAAAAAAAAAAAAAAAATTCTATGCTTTTCCATATATAAAGAGAATTTATTCAACTTGGATCAGAAAGAATCAATAACAATAACGACTTAATTATTTTGACAGGCGATTCCAAGGGAAGCAAGTCAATATGCAATTGGAGAATCTAAGTATTATATGGTACTAGTATTGTGTGCCGTTATTTGGCAATTCGCCCTCATGGGGTTAGTCGGAGTTATTTTTTATTCTTCCTCTTTACTCTCTGGAATTATAGGCGCTTTTTTACTTCCTGTTACCGAAGTTTTGGCTGTAATTTTGTTCCACGAAAAATTTCAAGCCGAAAAAGGAATAGCTATTTTTCTAGCTCTATGGGGATTTGTTTCATATTTTTATGGTGAATATGAACAAGGGAAGAAGGAAAAGAAGATGAAGTTAAAGAAAAGTGAGAGTCAAATATCTCAACAATTAGATATGGGCCAAACAGGCGCAGGACATGTTGTGTAGCAAATTTAATGTAATGGCCAAATAATGCATGTACTATTTTATTTTGTTCTACTTGTATGAAAATTAATTAATCATTAGGTGCAAATTTCTGTTCTTCATTTAAAAGATGTGACTAGAATTTATTGGTTACCCCACAACTACTCAATAGACCCTGTTTAATAATCCCTCAAATTGTTGATGAAGGGATTATTATGAAAGAATGAAGTTTATCCCTCATAGTATAATATAATCCAATAAGCTGTTTATATTATGCATATAAGTCAAGTTTATTTTTTTGCTACTTCATTTGTTTATCCGAAAAAACAATGCAAATTAAACGGCAGGTCACGTCAAAGACAGGAATTAAAATGCACCATAAATTATATCTACCCATTTGTCTTTCTCAATTATCGAACCGCTTAACACTTGTTGAAATTAATTAAAGTTAATTGTGAGGTAGGTATCTTAATTAGGCATTAGTCAATCTACACATTTTTAATACCTCAACTTTAACGACTATTGCCAATCTCTGATTGTAGTTTCACCATCAAATTAGTGGAAAATCGAAAGATTTTAAATCTTTATAAAGAAGATTAGTTTGTTAAATTGTTCATATGTTGGATCACTTGAATATGTGAAATATGAAACCATTTCACATTAACTACAAAAAAAAAAAAAAAAGAGTAGCTTATGTAGTTTAAGTTGTAGTGATTTAACAAGAAACTATCAACCGAGCGTATATATAATAGTAAAGTAATACGTATATATTTTGGAGGGTTGAGGGGGATTTAACCACAAGTTTACTGATTAAAAAACAAAACAATAACTAAAAAAATTGATTTACTTGAGAATTACTCAAAGAAAGTTTTCCTTCATACATGCTTTAGGGTGTGTTTGATAGGGAGGAAAACGTTTGTCTATTTTTCCGTGTTTGACAGGTCAAAATATTTTGAAAATATTTTTTCAAGGAAAATGTCTTCCATAATAGAAGTAGGAAAAATAAGTTTCAGAAGTGACATTATATTTTCTAAGTTCATTGTTTCCTCTCCATCCACCTTCTTTATCCCACCCCCGCCAGCCCGAACCTTGCTCCCCACCCATCTCATTATTCTCATCCTTATAGTGTTTTGTTAGCTAGATCACATATAAAGGCTATTGAGATGTAACATATTTTGCTTACTTAGTAAACACTAGAAAATACTTTATTTGTTCCCTTTAATTACTTGTCCACTTTGGACTTTACATATTTTTTTAAAAATAATGACATGTATTTTACCATAATACTCAGATAATTAATTAGTGTTTACTTAGTCTTAGGTCTTGATAAATTATTTGAGCAATAAGTATTTGATGTTGAAGGTAAAATATGAAGATTTTTTTTTTAATATGTTAAAATTGACAAGTAAAAGATAGAACGTTAAATACTTCATATGGTCCTTAATATTGTGAGGGAAAACCCATTAAATGATGGTCCAAAGAGGTGGATATCCGGATTCAAATAACTTGAAAACTCTATCTCTTACATTGTGTCAAAACACAATAAGATCAATTGAACCAAAACCACTTAATCAATATGCAAATTCTAGATATGTTGTTTTCTCCCACTGGGATAACTAAATCTAACAAATATTATATTTCATAGGGTCATAATATTAATATAATTTTTCTGTACACACATTTACATTTACTTTAGATTCAACGCGTGGTACGTTCATTTTCATTAGGTCAACTCAATTAATATCAGCAATTTGTCCAAAGTCAAATAAGTGAACAACACTTAAAAAGTTTAAGTGTAGTACCTTTCAGAAAATAGCGGGTGTGCACGATGCACAATTATGACAATGTGAGGTCTCTATCTTATCATTTGTATAGTTAAATCGTTAAGGCAATAGTCTAAGTCAAAAATTTCGTTAAAGATATTCAAACATTAAAGAACAAATAATTTTTATATCATCAATATGAATATATGCAGCAAATGTACAAAAAAACGATAAATAGCTATACTAAAAATGAATTTTTCTTTTTTTTAATCCAGACCTATTGACAAGTATCTTGTCACTCGGATAAAACCAACATTTCCTACGAAAAAAGTATCAACCCAAAAGTCGACCTTAAACAATTTTTTTTTTTTAAAAAAAAACAGAAAGGTTTCCATTCAACTCAATATTATATTTGAACACATATAATAAGGTTATAGATTTACCTACATATATCAAAAGAATATGCAAGTTATTTAGTGAAAAATTAGTTGGGCTCAAATGTTTTGGGTTCTGTTGGGCAATGTTATTGGGTCTGCTTCCTAAACCAGGTCTCTTAATTGATTAATTTGAAGGTGTTTTCTTTAAAATTCAATATATTATATTTTCACATTATCATTTTATCCTAAGGGGTCATTTGGTTGATGCTTAGAGTATAGAGATTAGTTAGGAATGATTTAATTATTTAATCTTCTATCTTACGTAAAATAATACATAAATTGATATAGTATACATGTTTTAATATTGTTGGATTGTAAACTAGCAATCAAATGCCGCACTTGTGTGTTGAGTTTTATATTTGACTCACATGTAAATTCCTTTTTATTTGTTTTAAATTTCTTGTCTAGTCATACACTTTCACATAAACGAGGAAGGTGAAATAATATATACTCCACATTTTAATGGGAAACTTCACAAATAGACAATTTGAGGACCCTTATTTAAGACATAGCCGAATTCATAAATTATTGTAACTTTAGCCTTTTTTGAAGTTAACGTCAGACTCGTGAATTTATAGTTTTGAAAATTTTCTGACATGCTGCATAAATTCAAACTTGGACATTTATGCATGAAAAAATAATGTGTTAAATGATTCTTTGTATATCCTTAATAATTTTGAATTCCTAATTAGTTGTGTAAGTTTGCAGGGTTATAAAAACAGACTTTGATGCTAATCCATGACGCTAAATTAATTGCATTAGTATGTGAAAAAGGGAAAATCATGCTAAATCAGAATTGGTACTATTGTAAATTGTAACAATAATTACATGAGCCTCATCATGGTCTAATTCTACAAAGAAAAATAATAAAAAAATAAAGTGAATGGTCTTGTTGCTTATGAAGAAAACAAATGAGACAACAAGACAAGTCCTACTTATGACTGAACAGTCGAGTGATAAAAAATTTAGAGAACAAGCAGCTAATGCCAGAACCGTTGTGTCATTGTAAACAATGTTCGAGGTCGAGTCAGGGGTGGCTCAAAGTAATTGGAGGTCTAAAGCGAAATTTTAATTTGAGGCCTAAAATATAAATAAACTTCGTATACGTATTTATTCAAAAAATATTTTTCTTACACTATTTAGAGAAAAATATTAGTATTTAATATTATTTTTTCAGTTATCGATTTTAGGTAAGATTTTATCAACTCAGTATTGAAAAACATCCTTTCAGTGAGGTGATAATAATATGAATTGTTAATATAATTCTATAAGTAAAGTTGACAAATATTAAATAAAGATAAGAGTAGAACCATAGAATCTGCTACAAGAAGATGATGCCTTGATTTACCACATTTCTATATGTTTGTTGTAATGCTTGAAACAAAATAAAAAAGAATTTGTAATGCTCTTTGCTCAACCCTCTTCACTATTAATTCTTATTTTTAACAAATGACAACATATGTTAAACTGAGTAAAATAATATTTTTTTTAAAAAAATATACTTTTTATCATAAATAATCAATTTTTTCTATAAAAAATTTAACACATAATTTATTTTTGAAAAAAATTTGGGGGCCCAAGGCATAAGCCTTATTTTACAAAGGGAAGAGCCGTCCCTGGGTCGAATCAGAATTTGAAATTTATGAATTTAAAATTTAATTTTCTTTAAGTTAAAAGTTCTAAAGTGTAATAATTTATGCAAACTCGATAAATTTCTCAAGTGAAATATAGAATTTCAAACAAAGTTTATGACTCATAAACTATATTCTAGCTCCGTCTCCTAATGATACCAAAACGACTTTGCCCTGTTCAATGACGAATCCCTCAATCATTTACTTATCCTCACAATTATTTATTATTCTACTTGGATTTGGATTTTTCACTTCCTCCAACCCAATTCACCTATTTTTTATTACAAAAATTTCATATACAGTTAAATATTTTCACATAAATCGAGACGAAAAAAATCAATCAATATAGATAAAGTTCAAGAAAATTGGAAATGGATAATCAAAGCAGCAGATGGAGAAAATTTATACTTGTACTCAATTGTATCACTCTTGGCATAGGCTATTGTGGTGGCCCTTTAATCTCACGTCTCTATTTCCTCCACGGTGGCCAAAGAATTTGGCTTTCGAGTTGGCTAGCATGCATTGGATGGCCAATTATTCTCATTGTTCTCATCATCCCTTATTTTTTCCGTCTAAAAACTCAGGGCTCTAATACCAACTTTTTCTGTATAACTCGTCAGGAGTTCACATCATCAGCCGCGTTAGGCATTCTAGTTGGCCTAGCTGGTTATCTTTACGCGTGGGGACCCGCAAAACTCCCTGTTTCTACTTCAACCGTTATTTATGCAGCACAACTCGGATTTACCGTGGTATTTGCTTTTCTTATAGTAAAGCAGAAATTGACTGCGTATTCGGTGAATGCGGTTGTTTTATTGATAGTTGGAGCGGGAACTTTAGCGCTACGAGCGGAGAGTGATCGACCAGAAGGGGAATCAACTAAACAATATGTTTTGGGGTTTGTAATGACACTTTTGGCTGCTGCTTCAACAGGGCTTGCTCTGCCTCTACTTGAGTTGATTTACATCAAGGCTAAAAAAAATGTAACTTACATTATGATTTTGGAGATTCAGATGATACTTAACATTTTTGGTTCTACTTTTTGCACTGTTGGAATGATTGTAAACAAGGATTTTCAGGTAAATATATGCATCCCTCTTTTTTGTTAATTAAATTAAGAATGTGTTTTGTATGAGAGAAATATTTTCAATTTTTCATGTTCGGTTGATCAACAGAGATAGGCATGACCAAATGAGTATGTGTTACTGTTACTATTACAAGTCAAAATGTTTCTAACAAAAATGGTTCTTAATTTACCTACCATAAAAACAATAACAATAACAAACAAAGGAAGAATTGTCTAGTGAACTATATATATATCCACAAGAAAAATAAATAAATACTTCATTTCACCCATCAATTATTACCTTTCCCTAATGAATTTCTACTGAACATGAAGTGTTTTGGTAACTCTGATTGCAATTTTTGCAGGCGATTTCGAGGGAGGCAAGCCAATTTGAGCTAGGAAAAGCTAAATATTATTTGGTGCTAGTATGGAGTGCTATTATTTGGCAATTTTCGACACTAGGAATCGTTGGAGTAGTCCAATATGGTTCATCATTGCTGTGTGGAATTTTAATTGCTTTGTTACTTCCACTCACAGAATTATTAGGTTTAATTTTATATCATGAAACGTTTCAAGTTACAAAGGGGCTTGCCATATTCCTCTCTCTTTGGGGATTTGTTTCATACTTCTATGGTGAAATGAAACAAAGCAAGAAGAATAAGAAGAAAGAGGAGAATCCAATTCCCCAAACAGAAATGGTTCAAACCTCACCTGTCTGATCTCTTTGTAATTTAAGTATGTAATTTTATTTTATATGATGTTTTAAATAATTTCTACTTTCATGATAGTTACTAGTGTGTATCGGACAAATTTACTATTTAATTTTTCTAGTCAACAACAACAACATACCCAGTGAAATCCCACTAGGTGGGGTCTGGGGAGGGTAGAGTGTACGCAGACCTTGCCACTACCTCGTAGAGGTAGAGAGGCTGTTTCCAAGAGACCCTCAGCTCAAGTACATCAAATCCAAGTAAAAGGCGAGGAAACAGTGTATAAAACATAACATCTAGTAATAAAGATAGTATATAATCAACAAAGAAGACAGTAACATCAATAAAACAATGAGAGAAGTGAAACGCAGTAAACAACAAAAGGCTATAGGTATCACAGACAGGAACTGCAAGTGCAAGGCTAGGACTACTACAAACGCTAACAACCCATACCCTTGCAAGGGAGGACAACACGCTAGCCCTACTAACCTTCAACCTTAATACGCGACCTCCACTCCTTCCTATCTAGAGTCATGTCTTCAGTAATGCAAAACTGAGCCAAGTCCTGTCTAATCACCTCTCCCCAATACTTCTTAGGCCTACCTCTACCCCTCCGCGTACCCTCTACAACCAGCCCCTCACACCTCCTCACTGGGGCGTCTGCGCACCGTCGCTTCACATGTCCAAACCATCTCAGTCTCGCTTCCCTCAGCTTGTCCACCACAGAGGCCACTCCCACCTTCTCCCGGATAACTTCATTCCTAATCTTATCACTCCTAGTGTGCCCACACATCCATCTCAACATCCTCATCTCCGCAACATGCATTTTCTGAACATGTGAGTTCTTGACTGGCCAACACTCTGCTCCATACAACAAGGCCGGTCTAACTACCACTCTGTAAAACTTACTTTTAAGTCTAGGTGGAATTTTCTTATCACACAAGACTCCAGAGGCAAGCCTCCATTTCGGCCAAGCAACCCCAATGCGATGTGTGACATCATCATCGATGTCGCCACTTCCTTGGATTACAGACCCAAGATACTTAAAACTTTCTTTCTTAGGAATGATCTGTGTGGTAAGTCTCACATCCACATCTGCCTCATCCAACGTATCACTGAATTTGCACCCCAAATATTCTGTTTTGGTCCTACTCAACCTGAACCCTTTAGACTCCAGCGTTTGTCTCCACACCTCCAACCTCGCATTAACTCTGTCCTGCGTCTCATCAATCAGTACTATGTCATCCGCAAATAACATACACCATGGGACCCTCTCCTGAATAGACCGTGTCAACTCGTCCATCACCAAAGCAAATAGAAAAGGGCTAAGGACTGATCCTTGGTGCAGCCCCATCTCAACTGGGAAATGTTCCGAGTCACCTCCAACCGTTCTAACCCGAGTCTTGGCTCCACCGTACATGTCCTTTATCGCCCTAATATAAATAATTTTTTTTTATTTTTTTTGATATATGAAATTTATATACATTATGTCAAAAATGGTGGTTTTGTTGGAGCAGCCCATCAGGCTTTTGTTGGACTCAGTGATGACTGACTCATGATCCTTTCACTGCATAGAACGAAAGTTATTCGTTGCTCTGTGAAACCTGCCTCACGCAGTCCACCCCATTTTAGGAGCCAAGCGGCCCATGCATTCGCTTGGGCTCCATGGCCCAACTCTATGCGTGGATAGGGCAGGTCAGAGAATATAGCCCACAAAGTCCAACCTTCTGGATTAGCCCAACATTCCACCACATTAATGCCCTCACTCAAGTTACAAGCCCACGTTATGAAGCTCGGCGAATAGTGTTCTTTTCTAATTACTTATAAATAGGAAATATCAATCTTTCTTTGTCGATGTGGGACAACCTATTTTCTTATTATTATACAATGTACCATTAATTGTGAAAACTTAAGGTAATTAGGACTTGATTAAACTCTAGATCTATGGACTAAACAAGTGTTAAAAGATCACTAAAGACGCAGAATTTCGCCCAATTTTATGTATGCCCTAGTGTTGGAGTTAATAGAAGGAAGGCCGAAACGATGATTTATCATGGGATGATATTTAAATACCCTTACAGATGAACTCTCTCTTAATAGAAGTTAAAATGATTATTTGGATCAAAAACATGTTTTATTGATTAAAAAATAGGTTTAGTCCATTGTTAAAAAAGTATATATATATATATATATATATATATATATATATATATATATTACCTTAAAAGCATAAACTCCTAACTTGAATGTTAAATTACTACAATATCCCTAACTTAGGTTGTGACTTTTTCGATGAGTTGTGACATTTCTTATAAGTTGTGACTTTTTTCGAAGGATTGTGATTTTTCGATGAGTTGTGACTTTTCCAAAGAATTGTGACTTTTTCAATAAGTTGTGACTTTCCCAAAGGGTTGTAATTACTCAAAAGGTCATGACTTTTCCGATAAGACACAAAAAATATTTGTTCATACCATCCTTTGTTGACTATAAATAGAAGGGTTTCCTCTCATTTTTTTCAACCACAATTTTTTTTAATCTTCTACTCTTCTTCTTCTTCTTCTTCTTCTTACGTTTTAAAATATTTCGTGTGATGTATTATCATTGAGTGAGTTCGAATAAGGTTGGAAGTGATGCCTTTTCTCTTAGTATATGTTGATTATTGTCGAGTTTGTGAGTGGAAAGAAAGATTTCTTTTTGGTGAAACACAAAATGTAAATTTTTTGTCGGTGTATTACTTGTGCCATTAGTTGTATGATAGTCTGGTGCTGCCTTTTCTGCAATAATTTTTTCATATCAAAATTAAATCAGTTTCTAATAGTGGTCCATTTGTAGCTTGCTAGGTGCATGGTTGTGGTGTTAACTCCCCTTTGATGATATGCTTCAATGTTCTTCCAACAATAGAAGAATGAAGCAAAAAAAGAGAAATTTTATCTTGAGGATTACAGGAAATGTATCTGTCCTTTTCCTTCACTCAATATTTCTCTGGTGTCTTTACGTTGCATTTTGTACCTTCACATTTTCTCTTCTTTTTTAACAGTTTGTGAAGGAACACATCGTCATTATTATTGTCAAAATGCGGTTGTCTTTACTTCTCATTTTGATAGGGATCTTTAATGTTTGAGTGAACTGCTTTGTTTATTTTCCTCAAAGTTGTTGACTGATGAACTTCTCGATTGGCATTATCGAAAGGCCATCAATTTGCATAATATATACAATAGTATGTAGTGTTCCAATATATGAAGTTAACATGATGTAGTATAAATTCATTTGTTTTTTTTAAAATAATTTCTCATGGAATTTTTTACCAAAATAAGTCATTATTTAAATCAATTCACCAAAAATAGTATGTTTTTTGAATTTTTTACCAAACTAGTATAAACGTACTTGACAGTAACATATTAGGTACTATTTTATTAAAAAAAATAAATGACAAAAGGACAAACATTTGACGTAGTAAACAGACTGAAAACGTTACTGAAATTCACGTTTTAACGTTAAAACGTTATTGTCCATAACGTTTTAAGCTTAAAAAGTAACTTACCCCAAACTAAAACAAACGATGTCGTTCGCATCACCATGTTATGCGTTTCAAAACCCTTATGCAGCCTCCCCATTAGATTCATTGACGTTCCCAATCCTTGTTGCTCTGTGCCTAATCGGCCGTCGTCGGTGTTGTCAGAAAAATGAGATTTATGACAACTTTACTATCATAAATCTTTCGAAAAATATAGAACATAATTTTTTTTATGCTTGAGGTATGTTTTCTCTTTACATAGTAGAAGAAATGCTTGGAAATCATCTTAATATTCCCACAATTTAGCTGACCTACAGTTCATAATTCTGTCTATCTAGATTTGATTAGGTGAAATGTAATTTTAAAAATGGTTAGGGGTCATTATTTTCCTTTGTAAATGTTTCATCTTTATCGTTAAAAGGATGAGGTATGCCTATTTTTTTTTATGTATCTTACATATATTATCATTGTTAACTTAGTAATTTCAAAATTTCTTGCCGCTGTCAGCTGCTCTAATTTATATGGAAAAAAGTATCAATCTTACCTCTAAAATATTTGATATGAGGCAATTTTACAAGAGAGACCCTTTTTTTTTTGTAGCTAATGAGTAATTCAGCTTAGAAGTCTAAATTGTAAAACTTGCATTGTTGCACTATTAAACTAAGTGTTTCATTAGCTCTATCAGTAAGACTTGACTTCCTTTTTGTAATGTGAACAATACAAAACTGTATTTGCTTTCAGGTGACTAGATTGGGTGTAGTAATTTGTAACCACTGCATCAATATGATGTATGTAACCATTGCAGTGAGGTAGTCACCCTTGACGGCAATTGACCAGAATACCAACGACCCAACATCACTCAGATCCAGCTCACTGGTGACTCGAGAGTTCTCAGTAAGCAATTTAATTTTTTAATCTTATATCAGTACACTTCAAAATTAAAGAGGATGACCTTAAAACTTCTAAATGTGATTTTGTTAACTTTACCTCACTTTTAAGTGTGCTGCCAAGAAAAAATTACATAATAATTTGGGCTAACATTTAAGTTTACTTTCATGTGTATTCCATAGGTATTTTTTATGGCTAATAATAGTGAATACAAGTTGGATCCCGGTCCATTAGAATCGAATGTATTAACGGGACAACTTACTCATAGATCACAAGATATATGAGAAGGAAATGTTAATATGATTCTTAATACGAGGAGAGAAGATGGAAATTTATGGAAGCTCATAGAGAAATATCCTATCCATCCACGAGTTCTTGAAGTAATTAGATTATCTGGATTATATGGTGTTTACAAATCTAATCGACCCGCTATTGACCGTAGTTTGATCACCGCACTAGTTGAGTGGTGGCGTCCCGAAACTCATATTTTTCACTTTAAAATAGGCGAAATAACAATTACCTTGCAGGACGTAGAGGTGTTGTATGGATTACTTGTGAATGGTGATCCAGTACTTGGTAACAAAATGATAAGGACCATAGGGGATTGGCAAAATATTTGTCAAAAATTATTAGTTTTTGTTCCATCTCGTGATGACTTCAAAACAAATTTCATCAAGGTCGCTGCATTTAATGCACACATGTTAAGCCAACCACAGTTGCAGAACATGGCAACACAAGATATGGTCAATCAGAAGGCAAGATGTTACATGTTCTAGATGATTGCAGGTACGATGATGGCGGATACATCTGGTGGTTATTTGAAGCTTATGTACTTGTCTATGCTTGAGGACATCGATAAAATTGGGTCTTATAGTTTGGGGAGTGCGACCTTGGCATACTTATATCATTTTCTTTGTAAAGCCTTACAGAGTACCCAAAATGAGATAGCCGAATTTTTGCCACTACTTCAGGTATACCTAATAATTGTACAAATAATTTATTTATATTTCTTACAGTTACTAGTTTTGGACATATGTGTCTCATATCATATTTTCTCTCCCTATATATAGTCCTCATTTAATTTGTCTCCGTAGTGTTATTGGAGGATGAAAATTTTAAGAGATGTAATCCTAAAACCCTTTCTCTTAGATTTGGACGTGGGAGAAAGTCACTGTCCTCAGTCTTCAAATAGTAGCCCAGAGAGATGCGAGAACTATTTCTCATGTTGGTTTGCCTAGGGGTCCACATGCTACTATATGGTTTGCGCATCTTAGTTGGACGAACACTACCAAACATGTGTTGAAAGTTTATAGGGATGCACTTGACTCTATGATAGAAGATCAGGTACACTGTAATTTTTACTTATTTATAAAGATTGTAAATGTAAAGACTCACTTTGCTCTTTTCCTTTTTCATGCAGTCAGGAACCGTATTCCGATGACTTAATTGAGAGTCTTCCTCCCTATTGTCACGCTGGACGAAACATATGGCGAGTTAGAGTTTCAATCTTTTGTTGGGATGTGGTCGAGGTTCATTTGCCTGATCGTGTTATGAGGCAATTTGGACTACAACAAGCTATACCAACTTCGTTTCCATTTGATTCCAACCACTTTCGTCATGATCGTCGGGAAAGACCAAATGCAAATTGGGAGTTGGAACATGCACAATGGTTATCATTTTGGAACCAATGCCTCCAATATAGTTGTGATGCACCGGTTAATAATGAATCATTTCACTATGATGATCCATATCTTATTTGGTTCAGGCGCATTACTCGTCTTGTTAGTGGTAATCCTAATTCACGTCTTCAAAATCAACAAGGTTATGTGCCTAATTCAACGGCATATGAAACTATGGTATGTGTCACCTCAATATCTTAAATTTCTAAATTTGTCTTTATTGATTTTAGTGTGTTATTTATTTTGTTTAGTGTTGTTGTTGCTGCTAAGTTTTTCATTGTTCTTTGTTCACTGCTAAGTGTTGAGAAAATGCTAAGGTAATATATATAGGAAAATTAAAAGAGTGAGAGTAGTGAAGTGGGGCTACTGATGAGGTGATGTAGATGTTGTTTTCTTTTTTATGAATGATTGAAAATAACCAGTTGCACAAAAAAAGCTAAACATTAATGGCCACTCGCAAGAATGGTGGTAGAGTAGTAAGTACTTTTATTAAGTAGCACTTTTATAACTAAATATCTTTTGCAGATTTCAGTTGGTAGTGAATTCATTGCTCAAGTGACAGTCCGATCTAAATCATCAGATTAATGGAGTAGCTTTTTGTGTTAGGAAAAATAAATCTTTACCATTTTGAACAACAGTGATTCACGAATACATACAGAACTACAAATCTTCACTTTTTCATCTTTTATATTAAATAACTTTCACTTTAATTTATTTAGGTGCGTCATATTCATTCAATGGTTGATGAAGCTAAAACACTTGGTGATAATCCATCATATGAGGCCTTATACATATTTAGAAAAATGGTGCGAGATCAAGGTTCTGATTGTTTGAAATATGTTCATGAGGCTGACAAGGTTCATGTGTCAGCCGATTATAGAAGAGATGTGGTACAATCTATCCAGTTACATCCCCCAGTTCGTAGGCGAGGAAAATATGGTGTTGCTGGTAGAAGAGAACGTGTTGTTGAAAGAGGACAAACATATGTTGAAATGGATCAGGCCACACAAAATGCCCAAGTAGCCTCAGAAGATGATCAAGCAACATCTAATTATAATAGTGGTTCCATTTCAAGAGGTTGTACTCATGAATTCACTCAGGCATCAAATATGACATATCAACCGTCACAAACAGATATCATGTCATACGTGATGCCACAGACTCTACAAACATCAAGTCATCCAAATCTCTCATCACTTGAGAATGTCGTTGATAATTATCAATTTCAATATTTTGAGAATGTCCCAAACTTTACCTCATCGCCTGTATCACTGAACATTGAGACCCCTGATGCCACTAATAATTTAGAGGACCCGAATCATCATGTGGACGATAATGATCCAAAGAATGCAAATGAAGGCGGTGATGCGACTATTGAAGATAGTGAACCTTCAAGGAGGGAGAAGCGTAAAATTAAACTTAAGCCTTGTGGGACTAGTGTTTTAACATCTTACATTTTTTATTTGGTTTTGCTCTCTTTTTGAATAATAGAACATTTATATTTTTTTTACAGGCGATCACTATGCTATCCAACATGTCAAAAAAAAAAAGCAAAGAATAAGTTATGAAAATTTTTGGTGCTGCTGAAAATTGCAGCCAGTACTGCTGAAAATTTTTAATGTTGCTGAAAATTTTTAATGCTGCTGAAAATTTGGTGCTGCTACTGAAAATTAGTAAATTAGTATTCTAGTAACAGTAACTTAACATTATAATCACTGCACTTTTTGGTTTGGGTATTTATTTTCACTTTGTGAATAGATTACTTTAATTTCAAAAGTATGAAGGCTTCAGAATGGTGACAGTAACTTAACATTATAATCACTGCACTTTTTGATCTGGGTATTTATTTTCACTTTGTGAATAGATTACATTAATTTCAAAAGTATAAAGGATTTAGAATGGTGATGTAAGTTTACATAGCCTATTTTAAAAGGTGTTGCCAGAAGGTGTGTCATTTTAAAAGGTATAAGTTTAAAAGGCTTCAGAACTATGAACTTAGTCATGAAAATACAAATTGAAATGAAGTAAAATACATAATTAGAGCTATTTGAAAGTTAAAAAATACATAATTAGAGCTGTTTGAAAGTAAGAAATACATAATTAGACTACCCATTTAAGTTTGATTTTGAGTTGGACATCGACGCCTGTCATGCCCGGTCTGTCTACACAATCCACAAGCCCGCCCATATGTTACAGGATCACGATCCATCTGACTAGGAATTCTAGTGGTCCTTGATCGATTGGGACGCATATAGAATTCATTACTTCTCATTATAAAACTTGGCGATGGCCAATATGCCTCGTGTCCAATCGGTGAGAATGACCCAGAATATGTTGCAACATAATTCTCTGTTGTGAAATGTTCGCTGACAAAATTTCTAGCTAGTGCTGCCATTCTTTCAGTAACCTTCATGACATGTGAACACGGAAAGTGCAAATTAGCCCATTTTTCACAATCACATTTTTTTTCACTTAGTGAAACACGGTGAGGATTACCACCAGTACCATCAATCTGTATAGATCTAACCTCATATACCCCTGTGGATATATTCCAATCATAAACAAAGTGTCTTTTTGAACTTTCATAGTTCTTTTCCCACTTCATTTTGAAACTGCTTGTCCATAATTCATTTTGCTCAACAAGTTGGTAAGTTGTTTGGCATCTACGAGTATATTGTTCAACGGTTTGCTCCAATGAAAGTCTAACCATGGCAGTGACAGGCAAGCTTCGAGCTTTCTTTAGAAGTCCGTTGAAAGACTCTGAAAGATTTTGTTGTCAATACTCCCCATCTTTTTCCATCATCATGGCTAACAGTCCATTTGTTCAATGGAATTCACATGAGGTATTCATATGCTTCTATATTTTTTTCTTGAATTTCCCACATCAAAGCTTCAAATTTTCTTACTTGATGAGCAGTAGCAGCCCTCCACATCAGATTATTGAGGTCCCTGTTTGGAAATTGAGATTGAAAGTTACTTTTAAGATGCCTTAAACAAAATCGATGAAAGGCCCGAGGCTCCTGAAATTGCCACAATTTTGATAAACTAATCAAGATTCTTTTTGCCCTATCAGAGATAATACATATGTCTTCTCTATCCTTTATCACATGTGTAGTCAGTTTCCTAAAAACTCATTTCCATGCCACTTTCGACTCTTTGTCAACAATAGCAAACGCAAGAGGAAGAATGTTATCATTTCCGTCAACTCCAACAGCAATTAACAATTTTATCTCATATTTACCATACATATGAGTTTCATCTACTGAAATAACAAGACGACAAGTTTGGAATCCATCAATGCATGGCTTGAAAGCCCAAAATACAAACTTGAAAGTTTTTACCTCTGGCGAACTCATTGACTCTTTGTGTTTCCATTCCACAACTGTTCCAGGATTAAAGTATTGAAAAACTGCAAAAAACTTAGGAAACTCACTAAATGATTTCTGAAAATCACCATATACCAATGTAAATGCACGTTGACGCCCAAGCCACACTTTTTTATATGTTACTTGATGACCAAATTTTTCATGAACCTTAGAAATGACATCCACTACCAACAATTTGGGATTTTTACATATTTGATTTAAAAACAAAGATGCAATTAAATTGGTATCTAAGTTAGTGTGACCCGTTGTAAGCCCTTCAATCACACATCTATGATTATTAAAATATTTTCCTATCTTCCAAAGACTACCTCCAACCTTCCGACCTCGAAGAAATCATGGACAACCCAATGAATCAAAAAACATGCATCTCACAGTCCATATGCTCTTAGTTGATATTACAACCTTGAATTCTTTATTTTTGCGCAAACTCCAAATTGTCACAGCTCGTTTCAACTTAGCTTTGCTGCTAAAACACATATCTTTTTTTAAATCTTTTTTTGCATCCTCGGACCAAACAGAACAACATTTCATTTCGGATTCAGGAGTAGAGATAAAAATATCTTGCTCGTTCTCTAATGTTGTAAAGTAAGGTATATTATTATTTTGCATTTCAGATACATCCTGATCAAATTGATTTTGAAGATTTACCCCACTATTATTTTGAGGTAAATCTCCAATATCTTCATCGGATTCACTTTTAATGGCTTTACTCTCTCCATCATCTTCTGAAGGTTCATCCTCCTCCGATTTTTCATCACTTCTTTGAGCATGTGCATCATTACACAAATCAAAGGTAGCTTCATCTTATCTGTAGAAAAAAAAAAAGTTAATTTCATGAAATACATAAAATGAAAATAATTAATTATTCATGCTACTAAATAGAATTAGTATTTTTTATATGAAAAGATTACTCTACCTGGTTTCATATTGATTGTGGCTACTCTCCATATGTCTTTGACTACTCGAGCATTCAACAAATGATTGATTTTCATGTTCGTTAAGGCCTACACCAAAGGATTGATGGATACCATGTATTGCACTGTATGCATAATGAGACTGACTGATTGTGGCAAATCCATAATTTTGAGCCAATAAATTCATATGATAACCATGTTGATCATTCATTCGAAATAAATTATCTTGATTTATTGGTCTAATCTTTATATACATCTCCAAAAGATTTATATCAATCTTGTTCAAAAATTTCCGAGGAATGGCAAAAAATTGTAGCAAAGATTGGTCATTCTCAATTTTGAACTCAATAAATCTTGTAATGTTACCTTGAAATGAGCATAGATATTTTCCAGAAATATCCAATTGAATATTTTCACCATCAGTCCCCATTTTCTCATGCAACAATTTAATTAATTCAACGTAGTTGGTCGAAATAGACATGCTTACAATCATTCTGGCACATTCGTTATATCGAAATTCATTCATTTCAGTGATTATTTCACCACCACGTTATCTTCAAAATTAGCCATCAAACATCCTACACACAAAAATAAGATGCATTATAGTTATTAAAAATATGTTTTTATAAATACATTACAACATATTGACAAGACTTACCTATTAAAATTTTGTGAGTATTGATTCAACAATGGGGCACATAAACAGAAGCTTTGTAGAAAATTATTGGAATGTGCTTCTTATAATAATCCGTGGTCAAATTGTAAAAGGAACACTTTAACAGTTTGTTATTACTGTTAGTCACGTTTTAAAGTTAAAACGTAACGTACAGTAACGTTTTATTGGCAGATCAAATCAATAAGACATCTTTAGAGCCCCGTGACATGATTCGATAGAATCGTTACTCAGAGTAACGTTTTAGTCTTAAAACGTGACTCATAGTAACGACTTTAATGTCAGATTTCATACAAAGATTCTCAGGTGGGAGACGTGATTTGATTCGACAGAATCTTTACTAGGAGTAACGTTTTATCATTAAAACGTTCTTCGTAATAACGAAATTTGGTACAAAGATTCCAAAGTGGCAAATTTGCAGAGACGCGTTACTGATGGTAACGTTTTAAGCCTAAAACGTTACTGCTAGTAACGTAAATCTTCTTTAACGCCGTCTCCCAACTATTTTTGGTCCTTTAATTTTTTTAAAATGAAATAAAGCCTAATACGTTACTACCAACAACGTTTATACTAGTTTTGTAAAATTTTAAAGTTTCATATTACTTTGGTAAATTGAATCAAATAATAGCTTGTTTTGGTCAATAGCTCTTTCTCAAAGTGATGTAAATATATGCTTCTGAACATCTTCTTCCAAAATTATTGAACTTCTCAAGAGTTAAAAAATTGTCACAATTAAATTTTTTTTATGCTCAACACAAAAGAATGACTTTATTTATCAATTGTCGAATTCATCATTGCTATAGAGAAGCTATAATACTTTATGGCGGCAGACAAACTTGCTCAAGTTGGACTCCTAGACAGAAATGAAAGATTCTTCACCCAAGCTATTTACAATTTAGAATGTATTTATTAAATTTAAAACGTTCAACTATAATTTGTTAAGGCTTTGTTATTATTGAGATTCCAAACTACTACTCTTTTGTCCATTTTTCTTGAGGAATGATTAATAGGGAACAATTATCTATTTTTTTCAATCTAGGTAGCACAAATTATCAACCAAAAATAAAAGAGGAGTAAAACAATACAACTTGGATTTCCTTATCGGAGATTATGGCACATGGACCAACTCAGTTTCGTTATATTTAAAAAAAATTGTCTGTTAGATTTGTTTACCAGCCAAAATATAAGCTTTTTTATTGGTTAAGGGGTGAACCAATAAACAAAGCTTTTATATATATATACAAAAATTACTGAATATCTATAAATATTTAATTACAAATCTAATTAATTGTGTCGGCTCTATGATTATAAAGAAAGAGACATGTGGACAATGAGTTTGTGCTTTTAAATTGCAGCACGAGCATATTATTACTGTTTTGAGGCGGCTTTGCTTTGCTCCATGATCATTATTACACCAACCCTACGTTTATTAGCAAAAACTAATTATGTCAAAGCAAGTTATACAATCAATTATTTTAGAGTTGATAAACTCTAAACAATAAATTAGGACAAACATTAATACGTTGATTAACTTCATTTTTACTGAAGTTCGAAACTTTTACAAGTATGATACATAAATACTTCAAGATTAATTGTCAATTTAAACAATCAAGAAATAGTTAGTCACTTTTTTCCAATTCTGCCCTTAATAATAGTGTAGTTCAATTGAAAAGTTATGTGGACTTTTAGTATTCTTGGTATAGTAGGGTTATATTAGTCAAATTACACCTTGTATTAAATTTTCCTTGAGGGGTGTGCATGACCTTACCCTGACAAACAATTGTGGACGGAGGGAATATAACACACTATATATAGTCACATATTGGACATACGTACCTCTTGCCCATATAATTAAGATATAAGCATTAAGCACTGTTGGAAGAAGGAAAAAAAGTTATCTCATAAGCGCATTGCAATGGCTTATACATATTACTCTCCGCCTCCACCTACTATGCCGTTGAATAATCCGAAACCGCCACCTCCGGCGGTGGCAGTTCCTATAACCCCACCTCCAAATTTAACACCTCCCGGAGGTGGTAATAATATGTCACCTTCAAACCCACCCACACCACCAACATTGCCACCACCACTATTTCCTTCGCCTCCTTCATCAAGTTCAAATCCTAGATCAACCAATGCTCCTCCTCCACCGCCACAAACTCCGAGTTCACCACCAAACTCTTATAGAAGTCCTATTTCACCTCCACAATTTCCGAGTTCACCACCAAACAATTCCAAAAGTCCTCTTTCACCCCCACAAACTCCGAGTTCACCACCAAACTCGTCCAAAAGTCCTACTTCACCTCCACAAACTCCGAGTTCACCACCAAACTCTTCTAGAAGTCCTATTTCACCTCCACAAATTCCGATTTCACCACCAAACTCTTCCAAAAGTCCTCTTTCACCCCCACAAACTCCAAGTTCACCACCAAACTCTTCCAAAAGTCCCATTTCACCTCCACAAACTCCGAGTTCACCACCGAACTCTTCCAAAAGTCCCATTTCACCTCCACAAACTCCGAGTTCACCACCCAATAGTTCCAAGATTCCACCCTCACCAACTTCTTCACCATCAAATGCCTCGCAATCTCCAACTTCTTCTCCAGGAGTACCACCATATTCTATGCCACCAAAAAACTCACAATCACCAAGGTTAGCACCTTCATCACCAGATGGTGGTAAAGTTCCAACACCCTCTCCATCGACCCCCTATTCAAAACTAAGTCCACCTCCTTCAGCATTAACACCACTTCCGACACCAACTTTTCCTTCAAGTACCTTTCCTCCTCCACCATCAAGTAATAGTATTGATGTTTCCCCACCTTCAGGTGGAGGCGGAAAACACACTACAATTATAGCGGTAGGTGTATCAATCGGCGGTTTTTTCTTCATAGCATTTGCTATTGCTCTCTTTTGCTTTTATAAGAAGAAAAAGAAGCGTGTCATGGTTCCAGCAGCAGCTTCTTGTTGATATATACATATATCAATAATGCCGATACATAAAGCTACAACTTCTGTATTATTTGATTGTTAATATTTGTATCTTGCACGCCATTTCTTCTAATAAAAATGTTATTGTTATTTGTGTTAATTTTTCATGTTATTCTATCCCATGATCTTAACTGATAACTAATTTAATATGGCAAAGATGAAGAAAAACAGGGGATTTATGGTTTTGAACTTAGATTATTCTCTGGTTCATTTAAACACGACGTTTGGCATTTTGCAAGGAATTTTATAAGATCACCGATGTCTTCTGCACATAATGATTGAATATTTTATGTTTGTATATGACACTACATTCTCCTGGAGACGAGAAATCTGCAACTCTTTTATTTGGTCTTGAAAACTATCAAGGATGTGCCACAGAAGCACAACGCAAGATCTGGATGGACTTGAGAACTGCAACTTTTAAGAGGCAAAAATAAACTAAACTATGCAGTGAGAAAAATAATAAGATTTTTATTGCCTTCAGTCCATGTTCAATCTCACGAAAGTTTAGAAACAAATAACTCACATTATGCTCAGTTCCAGGAAATGAAAAGACGAAGGTTGCATGGGGAGAAACTGGAAAGAAGATCGAAGAGAGAAAGAGAAAGGTAGTGTATACACTTCAGCATAAATAAAAGCAAATAGAAAACTCTCATTGTTGTCCAACTTCAGCTTTTTTCTTTTGCCAGAGCCTATCAAGAGCACTATCGGCGTCTCCCTGCAAAAGTTTTGACAAGTCAATTGCTATAGCACACAAATGATGAATGTTAAAAGGAATCGAGATAAACCACCACAGAAAGATCATAAGATAATAATTCCAGAAAAGAAGAATCATGTATGCCCGAATTGTAGCTCCAAAAATATAAGTGAAAGAATCATATCTTTCTGTAACAAGTTTTGAACAAGGGATGATAAAGTTAGCTGAACGACAGCAACCAATATAAGCAAAAGAGCTAATTACTGTTATTAAGGTGTACCAAAACATGTTACAAATGCTCAATTATCTGTTTCCCAAAAAAAAAGAAATGAGATGAGAAAAACAGTCAGAAATGTATTGGCATGATAGGAACTGACACCTCAGGCTAGTGAGCCATGTAAATGGCAACTATTTTGCTCCACATACAAAGATAAGTCGAGCATTTTTAAAGTACACAAGGCACAATAAATAGTTAACTCTTAGAACACTCATGTAATTCCAAAGGCACAGAAAAAGAGCGGCTTAGAATGACTCCGAAGGAAAATTCCTTTAACGTGATATTCAGAAGTAACAAAAAAGCACTACCTGGGCACGAATAAATCCACATAGTGCATAAGTGGTGAACTGGCCAGTGTATCGGCCAGACTCATCTAAATGGCCAACGTTGAGCTGAACAGATGCATGATCCTTGGAAGTGATCAGCCTGTTAGTGGCAGAGCTGCATCCAAATAGTATGTTAATTGTCCATGAAAACCTAATATACATCTTCTAATCCAAAGTATTACTAGGAAGAAAGAAATACATACCACTTCCTCGGGATGTAAAGGTCCATGTTTTGTCCCTCATCGTTCTGCATCTTGAATATGGCTTTACGCTAATAGATTTTAGAAGTGGAAAGCTCCTGGGATTTAAAAGGGAAAGCAAATTAAAAGGCATGTCGTTAACAAAACAAAACAACATACTGTTTTCATGTGTAGAGAGAGCCTACCTGATACTAATTGTGTAATCGTGAAGTAATTCGACATTTTCAAAGGCATCCAACTAATTACACTTGGAGCATCAACCTCCACATGATACAAGTTTGAATCAAAGGAAATATCGAGAGATTTCAAACGTTTATACTTGATTGGAGATTAAATCCTACTCAAAAATGCAAAAACAGCATGCTACTTTAACACAATCAAAAAGTTGAATGGATCCAAATAGTAACACATGTAATTGAGATACAGCATCTTTGTGGTGCTAAATCAATTAACGCCATACAGGAAATACAAATTTCAATTGCACTTGATTACATGAACATGAATCGTACATCAATAATCCAAATTATTACAGAAACAATACAGGAGACGAGAACGAGATTGTACCTGCAAGTTGGAAGACAGACAAAGACGGCGCCGAAGAATGTGAGCGAGCACCACTGCTGGATTTGGTACGTAAAAGCCCTAAATCAGCACGGATTGACTGAAATAACCCTTGCTATTTTGTGCAATTACAGAACCCGATCCTTGACCAATCCCACATATGATGGATGAAATGTTGAGGAATTTATACATTTAGAGTAAATATTTTGATCAAATTAAAAATGCTTATTAAGTTGATAATGGTAGGTTGAGAGTGACTAATTTCTTTTGCTTGATTGTGGTTTTTATAAGAATTTTGGATATTTATTAAACATATAGAGATGAGCCAAAATGTGATGATAAACTTATTCAAACACTGGGTAAATTACAATAAAACAAAATATTTTACATTAACACCTGTGATATGGCTCAAATGGGGATATACATTCAATATTTTTTTAATCAAATACCTACATTTAGAATATAAATCTGAAATTTCATGGGGGTCATACTAGACAGCAAGGCAAGGGTTCAAATTTGGTTTTGAACTACTTGAAATAAGTCTAGTCTAAATTTACCTTTTGTTACAAAGCTGGGATCAACTTTATCCATGCTGTTAAAAGTACGTCAGATTCACAGTTGTTTTTTATCGAATACTTACCATCAACTATTACATGTTCAAAAGTAGATTTGAATCATTTTGCGTAGTTCAACGAGCATATTCACCATTAACACCCACATACAAACGTCTCTATTTACCATAAAATCCCTCCAATTCGTGCTTGACTTTCATAAAAAATTGACAAATAGCTCCTTCAAGGACAAAGGATTAAGACAGACAGGAAGATCCTTTTCTTTATCCAAAGGGACGAAGACATGCACATATGAAGTCCTATCTGCATCACATGTTCAAAACCTACATATAAGGCGCAAATACAAGAGCAGAAGACATGAATTTAGCATCAGGAAGGCTCTAAAAGCACACTTTACCATGTGCTGGTGGGGAGGGTATTTGTTGATGAATGAGGAAAAATATAGTGTGCGCAAGGTAGTAAAGAAGAGAATTTTATTTAGTTGAGAGCAAAATATCTGCAATTTGCTGCAACACCAATAGATAAAGCATATAAGAGAACGTTTCATCTCTGAGTAATAACTTGGTACCTACAAGTTTAGTGCCAAGTAAACAGCACATATTTGCCAAAAGTTCTCTTTAACGGTAGAAAATCAAGTTAATGCACTAAAATAGTAACAAGCAAGTTCCATTTGTCTGATATGAACTTTAAACATAAAACAGAACAGCCACTAACACCAACAAAGAACTGCTGGTAATACAATACTAAATAGAAAACTCTCATTTTTCAAGAATGGTAACAGCAAATAGAAAACTCTCATTGTTGTCCAACTTCAGCCTTTTTCTTCTGCCAGAGCCTATCAAGAGCACTATCGGCGTCTCCCTGCAAAAAGTGTTTTCAAGTCATTTGCAGTAGCAGACAAATGATGAATGTCAAAAGCAAACAACATAAATCATCCTAAGATAATATTCCAGCAAAGAAGACCCATATAATAATAGATCTAAAAAAGAAGCATCTCTCTTTCTGTAAAAAGATTTTGACAAGGAATAATAATAATCTAGCAAAATGCCAGCCTGCAATATAAACAAAGAGTTAATAATACTTTAAAAGTATACCAAAGCTAGTTATGATGATCAATTTTCAGTTTCAGTTTTGCAGAAAGAAGAATGGGACAAGAAAACCAGCCAAAGATGTACCGCCAGTAATTGTGCAAGATATATTGGTATGAGAGGTAGTCACATCTCAGGTTAGTGAGCCATGTAAACAGCAACCATTTCCCCACACATACAAAGATATGTTATGCATTTTAAGACCCGGGAGGCACAATGAATTGTTCACTCTTAGAAAACAAGTAATTCGAAAGACACAGAAACAAATTTGGCATGACTCAGAACAATCCGAAGGTCAAATTCCTCTACCATGATATTCAAAGGTAACAAGGAAGATACCTGGGCGCGAATAAATCCACAGAGAGCATAAGTGGTGAACTGGCCAGTGTATCGGCCAGACTCATCCAAATGGCCAACATTGAGCTGGACAGATGCATGATCCTTGGAAGTTATCAGCCTGTTAGTGGCAGAGCTGCATCCAAATAGTACATTAATAATCTAGGACAACCTAACATCTTCATTAAGTAGATGAAGAGAGGCAGCTGAATCTGGTCAAAAGTGTTGGGAAGTAAGAAAAACATACCACTTCCTAGGGATGTAAAGGTCCATGTTTTGTCCCTCGTCGTTCTGCATCTTGACAATGGCTTTACACAAATAAATTTAGAAGGGGAAAACACCTAAATTTAAAAAGAAAGCAAGTTAAAGTGCAAGTCACTAACAAAAGAGTCTCTTCTTTCATAGGTAAGCAAACCTGCGCTAGTAGGCTCACACTTTCACAATAGATTATAATACAGAAGTATTCTGACGCAAAGTCATCCATAAAGGTAAAACTAATTAAAATTCGACCATTCAGCTTCACATTATACAAAAGTTTGAATCAAATGAAATATTAATATACTTAAAAAGTTCAAGTCATTGAGATTAGGAGATCAATACACCCAAGTACTGGTTGTGAAAGTGTGTATACAAAGATAACAATGTTTTTTTAAAATCTGAATAATTGAAACATGTAGGGTTTAATGATCACACATTGGGATGAAATCAGAATTCTGTCATTTATTTTAACAAACAAAATTTCAAATTCGTAAAAAAAAAATCCAATTGTGCCCATCCAGGATGGTTGAATAGAAATGCAGCAAAGTGAAGATAAACAATGCAAAGCAAACTACTCTTAACACAATCAGAAAAGGATACAAATAGCAACACATGTAATTAGTGCTTCAAACAAAAGACGGCATTAAGTTACAGCGCCTTCTATGGTGATAAATCAATTATGCTATACAGGAAATACAATTTTCAATACCAGCCCAAAGCTTGATTACACGAACATGAATAATGCATTATGTATCCAAAAGAAAGAGAGAAATCCGATATACACTATAAAATTGGCATCATACAAAGGAGAAGAAACATGTGCTGTGCTTTGTACCTCGAAGACAGACTGACGACGACACCAACGGATGTGCTTGGAGAAGACGAACGGCGCTGCGGCTAAAAGGTTTATTATAGCAAAAACCCTAAACAAGCTCGGATTGACTTAAATAACCCTAGTTCTTTGGCACAATTACGAAAACCGATCCTTTGACCCACCCGACCCGACTCAATTAAGAAAGACCCGTGAAGAATTTCTGGTAGGTTGTAAGAGTCGTTTGGATTGACTTAAATTTAAATGACTCTTAAGTCTAAACATAAAAAGTATGAGAGATTTACTTTTGTGTTTTAATTTATTTCAAGTCATTTTTAATTTATTTCAAGTTATTTTTAATCTTACCAAACACTTTCTAAAAATAAAAGTAGGTTTAACCAATTTTTAAGTCAATCCAAACACCCTCTAACTCATAACTCCTTAACACTTTGTTTGGAGGTTGCCAGATATTGTTTCGTAATATATCATATTGTATTATATCGTCGTGTATTATACTATTTTTTAATAAATATAATATTTTGATATATTGTAATGCATCATTTTTCATATGTAATATCACATATCAATAATTTAAAAGATAAATTTATATATAAATAAAAGAGTATGAGGTAAGCTACAATAAAAAGATTGGGTAAATATTGAAATATGATTATTAAATAAAAGATAAAATGAGAAAGGAAAAAAGAAGTAAGGATATCATTACATCAAATAGATGCTACACAATATGAGACTTTTCATGGTGAGTATATTATTTTGCTGTACACAGATTCTCGAATAGGGTTCCACCCCGAAACTTGTGAAATTTGAGATCTTGACAGGTGCCATGGAAGGTGAATGCAGCCGAAAGTGTATAAAATATTTTTTTGGCTGTGAAGAATTTAATGGAAGGTTGACAAAACTAGATAAAACGTACCAAAAAACAACAAAGCTAACGCAAAACATGGCTCCATCTCTGACCTTATACACTTGTTTAAACTAAAATATTAACTGATCATACATCTGTAAACCTGGAAACTATTGACAAGGAATCCCTCATTACTACCTATGTTTTATGTCAGCTGGTTATATAATATAAGATTTAACTTTCAATCTTGACACTTAATTTGCTCCTCAAAACCAGAGAAATAGTATTTTGATGCTTCTAACTCAATGAAAATGGAACATCATCTCAAATCGTGCACTCGAAACAAGAACAAATTGTTAACAATCAAATTCATCACTATCTCCTTTTTCACCTTGTTTCTAGTTGTCATCCTTTTCCATATCCAGTATTCGTCCCCTTTTGATTTCTCCTTATCAGCAAGGTCCCAAACTCGACGAGCTTCTCTTTTCCAAGAGAATTACTCTAATGTCATTGAAATGATGACTGCAAAACTCAAACATTCTGTCACTTTCCTCCCACTCCAAGACTCTAGATTTAGAGAAACAGCTATAACAGGACACACTTGGTTTATGAGCTCTTTGAACGATACACGCGAGGAAAATGAAGCAGAATACTTGTATTTCCCTTCTAAGGCATCTAAAGGACGGCTTCTTTGCTTTAAGGGACGGGATATGAAGGATGGAACGAAGAATTCATATGCTTTGGCATGGCGAGAAAGTCTTCCAGACTCTGCTATTCTATTGGAAGGACTAACATTTATATCGTATACATATTATGATCACACAAATTTGTGGCATGGGTTATGTGCAGTGGCTCCTTTTGTTAGATGGTCAATGAAAAATGAATGTTTGAAGCCAGAAAGATGGGTGCTATTCCATTGGGGAGAACTGAGATCAAGAATGGGATCATGGATTCAACAACTTATGCAAACGAATTTTGGTGAAGTTAAGGTGGAAAGATTTGATAGAGGAGATAATGTACCTTACTGTTTTGAGAAAGCAGTTGTGATGAGGCATGAGATGAGTCAAATGGGACAGGAGAATAAGCTGAAGACGTTCGACTTGTTGCGTTGCAAGGCTAGGAGTTACTGTGGCATTAGTCCTGCAGGCAAAGGTAGAGAGATTAATGAAAGAGGATTTCCAATTATAAGACTTACCCTCCTGATGAGAAGAGGTTCCCGGTCATTCAAGAATGCAACTGTTGTGACTGATATATTTTCAAAGGAATGTGCCCGAGTTGAAGGCTGCATTCTGCACGTAGTCCAGTCAGACGATCTATCTTTCTGCGACCAGGTACACAATTTCCCCTTTCTTCCATCAGTACTCAGTTGTCACTTCAGAAAATTTCGATAAAGCTACCAAAAAAAATCCATCTGCAAGCACTGAAATAACACTTATGTCCTTTTATCAGGTGAAAGTGCTGACCAACACTGACATTGTTGCATCTCCGTGTGGAGCACAGTTAACGAATATGCTCTTCATGGACCGTGAGAGCAGTGTGATGGAATTCTACCCAAAAGGATGGTTAGAGTATGCTGGCTCAGGCCAATATGCTTACCACTGGATGGCGAATCAATCTGGGATGAAACATCAAGGTGCATGGTGGGATCCAGTAGGCAAGGAGTGTCCATCCCCCCAAGATCAGTGGCAGTGTTTTTCTTTTCATAAAGATGGCATGGTTGGACACAACGAGACCTATTTTACAGAATGGGCTAGAAGAGTCATCGATCAAGTAAGGCTAATGAAGCAGGAGCAAGCCTCTGCATATCAAGCAAACAAGCAACAACATGATTCAAAAGCATGTGTTTGCTAGCCTTGTTCATGTATTGAGTAGAACCTTTAGTAGTAGAGTTTATAAGAGTTACAATCAAATGCATAAACTGTTTTGCCAGACATCATTAGCAAAACAGGCTCCTGTTTTAAGAAATGAAATATTGAACAATCTCCATTGCACAATAATCACTTTATTCTTAGATACACACACAGTAATCATTGTCATATAGCAAGTATTATAATGAAAAAAGGATAAACTAATAGCAACCTCAGTGCCCTCTACAGATTAGGAGAATTTACATTAGACTAATATTCCGAGTTTCTACAATTGCATCCTTGATGGCCCCAATCACTAAAAATCAACCACTGCTTAGCATTTCTACGATGCCTATTGTGTGTTCCTCTCATCGTCACTAAAGCTTGCATCAGAAAACAACAAAACAGTACAGGAAGATAGGATTGCCCTAATCTCTGTGAAAACGTGGACAAGTATAGATCACAAAGAAGCAAAATAGTGAAAAAAGAACCACATGCATCACATGGTTTGGTTTCCTTTCTCGATGATTCTCCTGTTCAATTATCTCGTGTTTTTTTAACCCGAGTTCAGCTTTGATCAATGTCATTTGCAGTGATAACGGAAAAAGTGTAAATTGTTAACGAAATAGGAAAGTCATTTAACTTGCAAGTAAGAATGATTTCCATAATCAACAAAATAAGTATACACCATGAGAATCTCAGATAGACCGATCAATCAACACGTTTATAAACACTGCCACACTAACTCTATAGGAAAGTTTAATGGCCCTAACAGCTTGAAGCAGTCTAAAGTGTTAGCAGTTTGCTAGAACATCATTCAAATTTAAAATCAGTTGAATATATATAGTTAGTTGACAAATTTCCGTCGCCCTGCACACTAAATAACAGAGGAAAGAAAAAATGCAATCAGGTTTAGGCTGATAATGGTCAGTTGATGTATTCATGGAGATCTGGCAAGGACGTATCTGTTAAAGCACCATAAAACCCATACGAATAGCATAGAGCAGTGAAGCATTCAAGCAAGTTGGCATGGTAGCATCGATGGAAAGGAAAAAGAAGGTTACGAGTACACTGCATTTCGAAAAAATTTACAATAATAACAATTGAAATTCCAAACAATTATAGAGGGAGAAAGCTCTAACATACAAAATCTTATTTGTTAAGGTACATGAATTATATAGAGAAGTGACTAATAAGGTCTAAAAGAATGTCAAACATACTTGGAAAAAAGGAGAACAAATTCATGGCATACCAGTTGGTTAATAAAACCATTCTGAAACCTTGCTTCTGACTTGATTTCTTGTGCTACCTGCAACATGAACTATTAACAAGTACTAGCAAAAAGGTAATTTGGGATAGGAATCTGAAACCCTGACAAAGATGATATAACAGGTAGGCCAATAAATGAGAGATTCAAGAAGATGCACACCTATAAGGAACATATCGTATAAAAATATTCTAGGACTCCTACATAACTTACACTCAAGGCAATGTTCAATTAAAAATACAAAACTTTAGTCCTGTTTGAAAATTCAGTCTAAGATTGCAACTAACACACTTATGCTGCTGTGCCAGTTCTAGATACGGAGAGTAGAAGGTAGATAGATGCCAGTCTTTGTTCTATATCGAATATGTGATGACAATCAGAATGGTTAGATTCTCTCACTTTCTTCTTCAAATAAGATCAAACCAGGAAGTCCTCCTTGTTAATACCTCAACATTGGGAGTGTAACAGTTAGGGACTTAGGCGTACATTGGATCCATATTGAAATGGGGACAGAGAAGAATTAAGGCACTATCCATGTCTTTTGGTACCATTTGCAGCTCTTCAGTATTAATATGGGTCCAATAAGACTAGATTGGCAGTGGACTATGACAAATGAAAAGTTGTATAACATCAATGTAGTCTGTAGAGGTAGAAGACATAATCACCTCGATGATAAGCCCAAATAAAGAAATCAGTAAAAAAAAATTAAGCCAGGTTGATTTAGACCACAAAATGTGGGATTTAGTCTTAAGATTATTGGTCGTCGAATGGAGTAATATGCAGGCTATAGGAACCATAACTTCTGTCTGAGACAATCATGGATGAAATATACGGATAAAATAACTAATAGAACAAGGACTCATTTCTCCATGGGCTTCAAAGCTGTTAGAAAATTATTATGGAAACACAACCATGCTTATAGAGTAGTAACTCGAAATAAGTTAGTACTTGCTCCATGTACAAGTCAAACGATTTACTCCATAGAAATCAACAAGTGACGAAAAATACTTAACTCAATGTGTTTTTATGTAAAGTTTGAGATTATATTTAATTGGTTACTCTGGGGAAGAAATCCACTCTAAAAGCCAAGTCTTCTTTTTAGTTCAATGTACCTTCTACTTATTAAAGTATTGGTTTTGTAAGTATTTTCACTGGTGATTGATTGAAGAGATTAAAAGATAAAATTATCACCCAGTTTAAACTCTAGAAAATGCTCTATTGTATGTTAACTATCCGTTTCCTACAAATAATGTCCACAAGTGGAGTGTACACAGACCTTACGTCTACTTGTGTAAGGTACACATAGAACTCATTTATGATGCACTATTTGACGTGACGAACAATTTGGTCTGCGTAATAGCCAAGTTTAATCAAAATTGCCAGTCTACGTAATAGCCAAATTTAATCAAAACTTGACAAAAATAACTTTCTTTGTCAAGATTACACAATACTCTCAAGAACAGCTTCCTTGTTGTCAACGAGAATAATTTGGCCGACCCCAACTTGTTTCGGACTGAGATGTAGTTATTAAGCAACATTTATATCCGTTTTTCCTCTTGAGAAAAGAATCCAACTGCGCAAATGGATTTCCTCACTGAAACTTACAGAATACTGCATAGATCTTGATAAGGGCCATGGAAGGTGGATCCCCAAGTATAAAATACTATTATTAGTTGTGACTAGTGAACAATTTAATGCAAGTTTGACGAAACTATAAATCAAGTACTTAAAAAACAATAAAACTAACGCAAAACATGGCTCCATCTGACCTTAGACCCTTCTTATAAATAAAATATCCACAAAGCATACGTCTGTATATGGGGATTCCTTTTCCAAATCTTGCATCCTGTGCTTATCACTTGAGTAAGAAATGCTAACACTAGCTTTACGTCAACTAGTTATTCAAATAGATTAACTTCCAATCTCGAGACTAGATTTGCCACAGAATTAGTTAAAAAGATTCAGTTCTAGCATAACTGATGGTAATGGAAGATCATCTCAAGTTATGCACACAAAGCAAGAGAAAATGCTTCTCCACAAAATTCATCAGCATCTTTGTTTCCTCCTTGTTCCTGGTTATCATCCTTTTCCAAATCCAGTATTCATCCCCTTTTGAGTTCTCTTTATCAGCAAGATCCCAAAGATGGGGTTTTCTTTCTCAAGAAAATTACTCCGGTGTCATCAAGACCATGACTGAAGAACTCAAAACCTCTGTTACTTTCCTCCCCCTTGTAGACCTTAGATTTAGAGAAACAGCCACAACTGGCCACACATGGTTTATGAGCTCTTTGAATGACACACTCGAGGAAAATGAGACAGAACACTTGTATTTCCCTTCCAAAGCATCCAAAGGACGCCTTCTTTGCTTTAAAGGAAGGAACACTAGGGATGGCACAAAGAATTCATATGCTTTGGCATGGCGAGGAAGTCTTCCAGAATCTGCTATTCTATTGGAAGGCCTAACATTTGTTTCGGACACATACTACAACCATGAAAATCTGTGGCATGGAATATGTGCAATGACTCCTCTTGTAAGATGGTCAATGAAAAATGAGTGCTTGAAGCCCACAAGATGGGTGCTATTCCACTGGGGAGAACTGAGATTAAGAATGGGATCATGGCTTCAACAACTTATGCAAGCTAGTTTTGGTGAAGTCAAGGTGGAAGGATTTGATAGAGGAGATGTACCTTACTGTTTTGAGAAAGCCATTGTCATGAGGCATGATCTAGGCCAAATTACGCGGGAGAACAAGCTGAAGGTGTCCGACCTTCTGCGCTGCAAAGCAAGGAGCTACTGTGGCCTTAATCCTGCAGGCAAAGGTAGAGAGATGAATGAAAGAGGATTTCCAATTATAAGACTTACACTATTAATGAGAAGAGGTTCTCGCTCGTTCAAGAATGCAACTGCTGTGACTGATATATTTGCAAAAGAATGTGCCCGAGTTGAAGGCTGCATTCTGCACATAGTTCAGTCGGAAGATTTATCTTTCTGTGACCAGGTACATATTTTTCCCTTCTTTCTATCAGTATTCAGTATACCCCAGAAATTTCAATGAAGCAGTACTTTACAGAATGAAATATTCAACTAAATCTTACCAAGAAACTTCCATCAGCAAAGATTCAGATTACACTACATGCAACTTCAGTAGTATCCAGGTAATCACTGAAATAATGTCAATGTCATTTATCAGGTGAAAGTGTTGACCAACACTGACATTTTTGCATCTCCACATGGAGCACAATTAACAAATATGCTCTTCATGGACCGCGAGAGCAGTGTAATGGAGTTCTTCCCAAAAGGATGGTTAGAGAATGCTGGTGTAGGACAATATGCTCACCACTGGATGGCAGATCAATCGGGGATGAAACATCAGGGTGCCTGGTGGGATCCAATAGGCAAAGATTGTCCATCGCCACAAGATCATCTGCAGTGCTTTATTTTTCATAAAGATGGCATGGTTGGACATAACGAAACCTATTTTGCAGAATGGGCAAGGAGAGTGATTGATCAGGTTAGGCTAAGCAAGGTGGGGAAACCCTCTGAAGATCAAGCAAAGCAACAACATGATTCAAAAGCATGTGCCTGCTAGCTTACTGTTAAAGCATTAAGTAGCATAAATAAGGGTAAACTTCATAAGAGTTAAAATCATATGTATACACTGTTTTGCCCGACATCTGCAAAACAGGCTCTGCTATTTTAACGAAAGAATTATACAACATACTCCATTGCACCATAA